AAGAGGCCCCCAACACGGTCCAAGAGAGGCCCGAGACGCCCGAAGACCGCTCCACGACGCCCAAGCTGGCATCCAGACGGCCCAAGAGGCCTCCAAAATGGCCCTGGAGGCCTCCAAGATGCCCCAAGAGGCCTCCAGGAGCACTCCCAAAAGAACCCACAGAAGCAAAATTCATTGCTTTCCCTTAGGTTTTGGACAGATTTGGGCGTTTCCACCTTTTCGGCTTCCCGACGCCCCTAGACGGCTCAAGAGGCCCCCAAGATCGCCCCAAGAGGGCCCAAGAGGCCCCCAAGAGGGCCCCAAGACGGCCCAAGACGGCTCCAAGACGGCCCAAGAAGCTCCCAAAACGGCCCAAGAGGGCCCCAAGAATGCCTCAAGAGGGGCCCCAGAAAGGGAACACGAAACAAAATCTCGAACTCTGGGCCCTCAGAGGCCCCCAGGAAGCCCCCAGAGGCCCCCAAGAGGCCCCAACACGCCCCCAAGACGCCCCCAAAACAGCCCCCAAGAGACCTCCAGGGGCTTCAACAATGCCTCCAAGAGGCTCCCGAAACGCCTGCCAAGAAAACCCCACCAACGCCGCATTGACAACGATCCCTCGGGCAAACAGCAGAGATGAGGCTACATGGGCCGGCGGAATGAGCGAATCGATTAAATAATCTCGCCATGCGGCGCGAGGGGCCCCAGAGAGGGAACACGAAACAACATTTCGAGCCCTCGGCCCTAAGAAGCCCCCACGAGGCCCCAAGAGGCCCCTAAGAGGCCCCAAAAGGCCCCCACGAGGCCCTCAGGAGGCCCCCAAGAGTCCCCCAAGCGGCCCCAGGAGGCCCCCCAAATGCCCCCCCGACCGAGCACGCAAGCAAGTGCAAGCGATGCTACAATGTGCTCTCCTTTCGGTAGACTCCCAACGGGGCCCCTACAGACTTGCAACAAGCGTCAAGAACCTGCCCAAAAAGCACTGTCCAGGAGCGTTCACAAGTGCCGCGAAGAAGCCCTCCTTACGCCGGAAAGCCCGGAAAGCCGGGTGGGGTGAGCTGTTCTTCTCACCACCGCGCCCTCTCACACAATGGCTTCCGCACGCCGCCCAGAGCGCGACGTTCGGCTCATGCCCCCAGAACGCTCCAGGAGCGCGCCAAAACGGCACCGGAACGCCCCCGAAACAATCCAAGCGGCCTCAAGTCGCCGAACAATCGTTCCAAATCGCCCAAGATGACCTCAAAATTGCCGTCGAGGCCGCCAAGAAGCCCCAAGAGAGCCTCAAGAGGCCCTCCAAGACGGCCATTACAATCAAAAATCGTCCCATTCCCAGAGGAACATGTACACTTCCCGCATGAACGGCGTTTCGAATTTCACAGCGCCTCAGACTACGCAAATAGCCCCCAACATCGCCCCGAGACAGCCCAACAATCCGCTAAAATCGGCCCAAGACGGCCCAAGATAACCCCAAGACGGCACAAGAGAGCACCAAGACCGCCCAAGAGGCGCCCAAAGGGGGATTCTGCCCCTAGGAGCACCTCAGAAGCCACCAACATCCCGCCAATAAGTCCCCCAAGACGCCCCAAGAACCACCCAAGAAGCCCAACAAGAAGCCCCAACGACCCCCAAACGGCCCTTACGGGGCCTCAAGAGGCTTCAACACTGCCTCCAAGAGGTTCCCGAGACGCCTGGCAAAAGAACCCCCAAAGCGCCGCATTGACACCAGGCCCTCGGGCAAACGGCAGACATGAGACTGTATGGGCCGGCGGAATGAGCGAAGCGATTAAATAATCTCGCCATGCGGCGCGAGAGGACCATTTGGTCGAATTTGATGACATGTTGAAAACCGATGGTTTTCTTACGAATTCTCAAGACTGTGCGCGCATAACGTCTTTTTCGAAAACTGATGCTGCACAACCATGAGTGTTGGCATGCGCGCGCGACGACTCGCGCGTGCGCACTTCGTCACACTTCTGGCAAGCGACTCTTGCGACACCACGTGCACAAGGGCGTTCGAATGATTTCGACACGCGCGCGCGAGAGGCACGTTTGACAACATGTGATGACTATGTCGACAAAGGTCGAATGTTTCTTATCTAAAACAACAAACGCAAGGGCGCGATCGCAGGCTTTGCACATTCTGGTCGCGAAAACATGGGTTTTCTTGATATGTGTGTTGGGGCACTCGATTTTGAAATCTGTACGAAACATGATGATTTTGGCATTCGCGCGCGACGACGCGAGCTTTTGTACTTCGTGCCATCTTGTACGAGCGAACATTGTTCTTGGCAAATGATGAGGGCTGCATCGATAAGGGACCGCCTCAGATGGCATGAGTTCATATCTGGGATGGACGGTGGGCCAGAATCGCACGTAAATTGCGACACGAAGAAGAGGGACCGTTAAACCTGGAGGGGGTAGGTGGATCCCAATACAGTCGGGACGCTGACCCAAGGAACCCTAAATAAGGAACGAGGCCCCTTTTCTCCAGAAGTTGAACTTTGATTCCCCTTCGAAAGCCAAAGGAAAACGTGGGGCGAACTGTGAAACAATTAAGGAACACGGAGCCCCTACCCAACGAAAAGAGTTTCTTCTTCAGCGCCCCGACTGTATTCTGTAGAAAGAAAAACCTGCGGCGGCGACAGGGCGGCGACGAGGCCGCGACGGCGACCACGGGGGCCGCCAGACAGGCACACAGACCCAGAGACGACGGGCGGCGACGCGGCGGCGACGGGGAGGCAACGGCGACCACGCAGCCGCCAAACCGACACCCAGGCCCAGACGACCGGCGGCGACGGGGCGGCGACGGCGGCAACATAACTAACCACCAGACCGCCATACGGGCCCAGACGACGGGCGGCGACAGGGCGGCGACAACATGGCCGCCAGAGCGCCGCACCGGCCCAGACGGGCGGCGACGAAGCGGCGAGAGGGCGGCGACGGCGACAACACAGCGGCCACACCGCCACACCAGCCCAGACGACGGGCGGCGACGGGGCGGCGACGGCGACAACATAGCCGCCAGACCGCCACACCATTCCAGTTGCGGTGAAAGGAAACAAGAACCCGGAAGTGCAATCACTGTTTTGGGAATGCATGTACATATGTGCACGTACAACAAAGAGACACAACTTCCCTGAATGTACGGGCCTGAAGCTAGTAAACGTCCAGATAGCTACGTGAGCGGTTCGTACCAACCGTTCATTCCACTGTGCGCCGCGACACCCAACAGACAATGCGAAGCACAGTAGTGCGCGTGTCGCTTGGACAGCGACAAGTATTGCTGCAATGCGATCGTTCAAGCAAGCGTTTGTCACGCCACCCTGGAGGGGGGTGGGGGGCGCAAACCCGCCGACCCGTTGGGCTTTGTTCGGCGTGTAAGCTAAGTGCCCCTCCTCAGACCCAACCCTGTCTGGTCGGTTTGTGGGGAATCCCGGAACCGTGTGGTGACAGACCCGGCGGTGACCTCGAAATCCGCAAAGACCTCACCGCAGGGTCCGTCACCGCACGGTCTTGGGACCCTGGAGGCCCCAGTCGCCAGAGACATCCTCGGAGAACGACCCTGCTGCGCCCTTCTGCCGCCCGTTTGCTGCCCCTCCTTTTGCTCCGCTGCCCCTGCCGCTCCCCTGCTTCGCCCTGCTGTCCGCTGCCGCCTCCCCCCGCTGCCTTTCCTTCCTTCCTGCCTTCTCCCTCCCTTCCCTCCCTCTTCTGCTCTCTCCCTTCCTCCCTGCTCCCTGCCTTCTTGCTCCCTGCTCCCTCTCTGCTCCTTCCCTCCCTGCTCCCTCCCAAGTCCCAAAACCGTGCGATGACCCCAAATCCCCACCGACTCACCACACGGTGCGGTCACCGCCCCGTTTGGGGGCCCCGGAGTTTGGAAAGGGGGCGGGGGGTTCTGGCCGGAGATCCCAGAGGGGTTGCCGCGAAATGGTCCTCGAACGCCCCAAGACGGCCGAAGATGGCCTCCACGTGGCCACCAATGGCCCCAAGACGCCTCAAGATGGCCCCAAGACAGCCCACGGGGCCCCTAAGGCGTCGCCAGAGGGCTCCAGGGCAATTCCCAAGACAAGTCCAAGAAGTCAACAGCCTCCCAATCCCTCGGAAAAGAATGCATTTTTTGAGTATTCGCTGTTGTTTGTCTTCGCTGCGTCCACGACGGCTGAAGAAACCTCGAATAGTATCGTTCCAGAGGGCCCCTACCTGGGTAGTCGAAGCCAATCTGGCGCCAATCTGGCAGGCCCAATCTGGCAAACGGGGGCAATCTGGCGAGGGAGCCAACACGAATGCAGTCTGGCGAATAACCCAAATCATCCAGTTTGGCCGGGCCAGATTGGCCCTTGGGGCCCAATCCAATCTGACAGTCTGGCCTTCGACTACCCAGTCTACGAGAACCCCAAGACGGCAAACGAAGCCCCCGAGAGGGCCCCTAAGACGCGCAACCTCCAAGACGGCCGTGAGGAGGCCCCCAAGAAGGACTCCGACGGCGCCGGGCGGCCGAAGACCGCCCGACGACGGCTCCGGCCCCCCCCCGAAGAGGCCCCCGAACGCGAGGAGGAGGAGGAGGAGGAGGAGGAGGAGGAGGAGGAGGAGGAGGAGGAGGAGGAGGCGAGGAGGAGGAGGAGGAGGAGGAGGAGGAGGAGGAGGAGGAGGAGGAGGGAGGAGGAGGGGGAGGAGGAGGACAGGAGGAGGAGGAGGAGGAGGAGGAGGAGGAGGAGGAGGAGGACTCCAACATGCTCCCAGAAAACTCCCAAGAGGCATCCAAAAACTCCGCGCCCACGCGTCCCGATGCGCATGATCTTCGCGCTTCGGGGTTCCGCCTGCTTCCCCTGCGGTGACGGCGCGTCGTCCAGATCCTGACAGTTTCAGGCGCTTTGCCGCGATCCGCGCAGCTGCCTGCCTCCGCGGTGCACTTCGCCTGTTTTCTTCGCGGCGCTCGTCCCGCCTTTTAGCACCTCGCACATGACATGCCACCAGGTTGCCTCGTTGGGCTCAGAAGGCTCTGGACGGCCCAGGAGCGCCGGGAGACGGTTCCAGACGCCCCACATCAGTCCCGAGAGGCTCCCAACGGACACCCAAGAGGCCCCAACATGCCCCCGAGCTTCCCCCAAGGACTCCTTAGGATGTCGATTCCTCTGGATTTCTTTTGGCTTCCTCGAGATTCCTCCAGATTTGAAAGACGCCCACAAAGGCTCACGAGGGTCCTCAGATCCAACAGCAGGAACTCGAACTGACATTTCGGACCCCCCGCCCACATGAGACCCCCGAAGCCGCCAGCAGGCTCTCAACAGAAACAAGGAGGCCCCACGAAGCCGCCAAGAAACCGAAACATCGGGTCGGCGGTGCAGCGTACGCCCATGACTCTACTTCTCGAGGAGACCACTCCTGAATCCACTCAACCTTCTCATAACGTCTGTCGGTTGTCCTGTCCTATGTGCGACAAACTTCTGCGTTCCACCTCGCTGCCATCAACGCATCCATACTTATCAACGTTACTTATCTCCCTCATAACACGATTTCTCGACTGCATCCTGTTTCCATCCTTCGTATGGTCCTCTACCACCTGCCTCACTAAACCTAACGTCCGTTCCTTCCATGGCTCCGCTAAGCGTCCGCCTTTCCGGATCACGCACATGCGTCACCCTTCCGATTCCTCCCTCAACCCCCTTTCCTCTGCCTCTCTCGCTCCAAAACTCTCTGAACAATCCAGCCCTGGTTCTTCCAGAACTCTACACTCCAACATCACGCCCACATTCTGACTCGCTCCTCCATCGCCTCGGGATGCAACGCGCACGACGTCGGAGACCTGGGCTGCTGGCCAGGCACCACCCCGTCCCCCCGCGGCCGCGCTGCGGCGGCCCCCCTCCGCGCAGCGGCCGCCTGGCAGGGCCACATGGGAAGGCCCGCGGACGCCGGGGTGCCTGCGCGCGGGGGATGCGGCAGACAGAGGACCGGGCCCGACGAAAGGGGGGGAATTGGGAAAGGGAGGGTTACGAAATCTGCTGCATGCAGCTGGTTTCGGCCCCACCGAGGGGCCCATTCCTCGATGCATAGCCGCCTCTGGCGCCGGGAGGCGCTTGGAACATCAGCTACGTGAGCTGATTCTCAGCCCCCCCTTTGCTATCCCCAGACGTCCGACGTCTCGATTTTTTCGAGACACGGGCACCCGACCTCCCGACCACTTCCCCAGTACCGGTTTTCCACCCCGAGTCGTTTTTTGACGGTCCCGAGGCCCGGCGAGGGCCCCGAGAGGCCGAACACGGCGAAAAACCTCCGTCTCGATTTTTTCGAGGCGCCCGATGTCTGGGTCCCCCCCTTTCGCCCGGCCCGAGAAGACAGGAGGAGAGCGCGAACCCCGGGGTGGCAAGGCTTGCGGCTGCGCAGCAGCCGCCCCCAGGGGCACAGACGGACCGAGGCCAGAAGCGCAACCCTCAGGTCGGGGATCTTCTGACCCTCCTCCTCCTCCTCCTCCTCCTCCTCTCCTCCTCCTCCTCCTCCCTCCTCCCTCCTCCTCCTCCTCCCCCTCCCCTCCTCCTCCTCCTCCTCCTCCTCCTCCTCCTCCTCCTCCTCCTCCTCCTCCTCCCAGACCCGGGTCAGCAGGAAACCAAAAACTGCACTGCAGGAAAAAAACACCTGCAACGCTGGTCTTCGCAAACCCGGGTCGGCCAATCTGCGCGGCCGCCTCGCGGCCACGAGCGGCTCGCTAACCCGGGTCAGCCAGAGGGGGTCTTCGCAGGATCCTGCAGGGTCCGGTGCCCTGGCTGACCCCCGTTTGCATTGACCCCCGTCTCGAGGCTCCCGATCAAGAACATGAGACATTCCGCCGGCCAACACAGGCAGAACATCCAATGGGTATCCTCCCCAGGATGCACAAGAACATGCAACAAGCACGACGAACACTACAGTCATCGGCCTGACCTAAGGAACGATACATAAGGAACGAAACCCATTTTTTATCCCAAGGAATAACGCACAAGGAACGATAGACAATACATAACGCATAAGGAACTGCAAATCACGCACGCAAGCCCAAGGAACGACCGAGCCCCTTTTGAAAAGCAAGTGTTCCTTATTCAAGCCGCTCACTGTAGGATACTCCAGATTTCGTAATAAAAGGGAGGGGGGTCTCATTTCGGGGGGGGTCTCTCCCAGGCGATCTTGGGGGGCCTGGGGGGGTCTGGGGACGATGTTTTGGAGGGTTCTCCCACGGGGGGGGGGTCTAAAACTTCTCGTCTGGGAGGGTCGAGACCCTCTCCCTTTTATTACGAGATCTGGAGCACCCTCCCCGAAGCGACTTCGACCCTATACCTCGGACTGCAGTCCGGCCTGGCCTCCACGGGCTCCCAAGGGCAGCCCAGGGGGGGGGCCTCGGCACTCCCGCGCGCCGTCTGCGGCGGTGCCCCCCGCGGCGCTCCCCGCCCCGGGGCTGGGGGGCGCGGACACCGCCCTTCAGTAGTGTCATTCTACTGGCGAAGCTTCTGACGACAAAACGTAACTCAAAACAAAAAAAATGCTTAAACGCCAAATGATCGGTACAGCGTTGGACGAATCGCGGCTGACCGAACGCGAGAACGCGAGCGCCCGCGCGATGCTCCTTGCTGCAAGCTGACAACCCGCGGCGTCCCGTTGAAGCCAGGCTGGGCTTATCCCCAGCCCGGGGGCTGCCGGGTCCAGATCCCCTGCGTGGCACAGAAGGGAGCGGCGGAAGAGCGCGCGGGCTCGTCAGGTTGTTCGAGCTCAGGCGTGCGTGCGCGAAGCCCGAGGTCCCCCGCACCCGCCCCCCCCAGGCTCTTGCCAATCCCATGATCAGACAATCCGCCGACCCACTCGACGTGTGCAAGAGGCCCTTCGACGCGAGGCCAGCCCAACCCAAACTGAAGTACGCAAGCCTCTTTTGATTCGTCGTCGTCGTGAAAGAGAGATCGGATAAATCAGGCTTATCGAACCATGTCGCAATTACGTCGAAAAGAACTCCCTTCCCTGTGCCCCTTCCCCGCCAGGGGTGGAGGGGGTCCCTGGGGGGTCCTGGAGGGTGGTAGCGGGGGGGGCCCGGGGGTTGTGACCCCTCCCCCGCTGAGGGCTTTCTCCCTCTGCTTTCGCCTCCCCGATGCCCAGCCCCGAGGAGACAGACGGCTTTCCTCCTCCTCCTCCTCCTCCTCCTCCTGCTCCTCTTACTTCTCCTCCTCCTCCTCCTCCTCCTTATCCTCCTCCTCCTCCTCCTCCTCCTCCTCAGCATGATCATCATCATCATCATCATCATCATCATCATCATCATCATCATCATCATCATCATCATCATCATCATCATCATCATCATCATCATCATCATCATCATCATCATCATCATCATCATCATCATCATCATCATCATCATCATCATCATCATCATCATCATCATCATCATCATCAGCATCATCATCATCGCCATCATACCATTATCATCATCATCATCATCATCATCATCATCATCATCAGCATCAGCATCATCAGCATCAGCATCATCATCATCATCATCATCATCATCATCATCATCATCATCATCATCATCATCATCATCATCATCATCATCATCATCATCCGCATCATCATCATCATCAGCAGCAGCATCAGCATCAGCATCATCATCATCAGTATCATCATCAGTATCATCATCCTGCTCCTCCTCCTCCTACTTCTCCTCCTCCTCCTACTCCACCTCCTCTTCCTCCTCCTCATCCCCCTTCTGCTCCTCCTCATCCTCATCATCACCATCATCCTGTTCCTCCTCCTCTCATCCTGCTCCTCCTCCTCCTCCTCATCATCCTCCTCATCTTTCTCCTCCTCCTCCTCCTCCTCTGTGTACTCGCCTCGTCTTCCTCCTCCTCCTCCTCCTCCTCCTCCTCCTGCCGCTGCGCACTTCCCTGAAAGACGATGTGTCCGCGATGTCAACACAATGCCAAGCAAGGAGCTGGGGGAGCAAGGCAACGGCAAGGCAGACAGCGAGGGGGAGGCAACACACAAGCCTGCAGTACCGAGGCCCAGCTCTAAACAGCGGGGCTCGCAACCGTCCGCTCTGCTAGCAACGGGCCTCCGTGGAGTAGATTCGTCTGTGCCTCAGGCGTGTGGGTGGCCATGCTTATGTTCCGCTAGCATCGTGCCCCAAAGTTCCCCATGTGTGGTCCTGTAGGTAATTAGTGATCGAGGGGCAAAATAGAAAGGATAACCTGTCCGGTCGATTCGGCCGAAGAAGCAGATCGAGGTCGCCTGGCCGAACCTGACCGTTGGCAGCCAAACGATCTACGGCAGGATGCTCCTTCCTCAAAGGTGCGGCCCATGTTTGCGAGAATCGAAGTTCGAAGACCGAGATTCGAACTTTCGGAACCCTGCGCGGACTGGAGACCTCTCGGGATCTCCAGCGGCTCTCAAGATCCTGCCGCGACGACGCCAACTCTGGTATCTGCCACCGCGCGAACAGCTCAACCCCAAACGATCTCCCTTCCGGGAAGCTCCCGGAGGCAGCCAAACACTTTCACAAGCGCGAGGAAGCTGCCGGGAGGCAATCGAAGACTTTCACAAGCGCGAGGCAGCCCTGTGGCACGGAGGAGGAGGAGGAGGAGTAAGGAGGAGGAGGAGGAGGAGGAGGAGGAGGAGGAGGAGGAGGGAGGAGGAGGAGGAGGGAGCAGGAGGAGGAGGAAAAGGAGGAGGAGGAGGAGAAGGGAGGAGGGAGGAGGAAGGAGGGAGAAGGGAGAAGGGAGGAGGGAGGGAGGGAGGGAGGCAGGGAGGCAGGGAGGCTCAAAGATTTCGCGCATGAGTTTCGTACGGACTTCGCGCCGCGGGCTGAAGTGTTGGGCGTCGCTTCATGGGGGTGGGCTTAAGTCGGGCCTGTCCCCCTACAGGGGGATTTCCGACGAAAAAGATGACACCACAAATGATCAAAACATACTCCAAAAGATAGTCCTGGGACCATTTATGGAGTATTGTTTGACCTTTTGGGGGTACCTTTGGGGTATTTTTTTTATTTTTCGTCGAAAATTCCCCCCCCTGTATGGGGGACACGCCCGACACAAGGGTGGGCGGCAAAGGAGGGGGGAAGGAGGAGGCAGGGTGCGGTTGCCGGGCCCTGAGGGCCCCCTTTTTTTGGGGGGCCCTCGAGGGCTCCCTGTGGGGGCCCCGAAAGGACCCTCTTCTGCAGCCCTCGCTGCCCCTCCGTGTGCCTCGCACCCCCCACTGCGCTTGCGCAGGTCGGGCGTTTCCCCTCTGCGGCTCCGCCCCTCGACCTCGGGCGGATCGCGGCTCTTTGGCCTCGCGAGGCCTGGAGCACTCAGGCCGCTTTCCGTCTCCTCCTCCTCCTCCTCCTCCTCCTCATCCTCCTCCTCCTCCTCCTCCTCCTCCTCCTCCTCCTCGGGGCCCTGAAAGGACCCTCTTCTGCAGCCCTCGCTGCCCCTCCATTTGCCTCGCAGCCCCACTGCGCTTGCGCAGGGCGGGCACGTCCCCTGCAGGCGGATGTCGGAAGAAAAAACATAAACAAATAGCGAACAACTACTCAAACATAGCCAACAATAGGCCACAAAATCGCCCGCAGATGTTTTAAACTAGGTTTGAATACTCCTCCTGTGGATGGACATGCCCGACTGAACACTGCGCGACACCCGAAACTGAGGCTCGAAATGGGCTCTGGGAGTAGAGGACGAACAAGAACACATAACATAACCTTGCACTTTTGACGCCCCGCGCGGATTTCTTGGATTTACGCTGGGGCCCCCTCCCTGGCGCGCTCCGCGCGCCAGGGGCGGCGCTGGAGGCGCCGCCGGGGGGGCCCCAGCGCAGATCCAAGAAATCCGCGCGGAGCGTCGAAAGTTTATGTTTATGTGTTTTTCTTCTTCGAGGGAGGACATTCCGTCGTGAGCGCCCGCGCCGGCGCCGTCGCGTCGAGGAGGCGTGCACCTGCCGCCGGCCGCTCTCGCGCACCAGCGCCGAGGGCCACGAGCGCCCCACCCACCAGGAGGGCCAAACAAGTGGCACCCTCCTCCTCCTCCTTTTCCTCCTCCTCCCTCTCCTCCTCCTCCTCCTCCTCCTTTTCCGTCTCCTCCCTCTCCTCCTCCTCCTCCTCCTCCTCCTCCTCCTCCTCCTCCTCCTCCTCCTCCTCCTCCTCCTCCTCCTCCTCCTCCCAAGACTGCATCTTGAGGCGTCGCTGCCGCGGCCGAGGAAGCGCGAGCACGCCATAACAGAACTGAGGCCCCTGGCAGATGTCTCTGGGCCCATGCTTTGCTGCCGCCGCCCTCCGCTGGTCTTCCGCCCGCCCCAGCTACACCCGTAGGCCAGGAGAAAGGGTGGAAAGATGGAGCAGGAAGGCGTGGAAGTAGATTGGGCTTCCTCCCGCTCCCTGAAGCGGAGGGAAGAGGGAAAAGCACTCGACCAGTGAAGTAGTGAGGCGGCTGAAGTGGATGGGGATCCGAGAATCCCGAAATGCGTGTTTCCAACGACCGACGGGTACTGCTTCCGCCGGCCCCCGCCGAGGAAGCGAAGTTGACCCCTCGAAGGCGAGGCCCAGTCTGGAGGGCCCCAGACGGCTTCCGCCGGCCCTCCGGCCGCCTTCCGTCGGGGAAGAGAAGCCCACCTTCCCCATCCCTCGAAGGCTGCACGCACAAGCGACCCTGGGTAAGAGGGACCTTGGGTGCGCGGCTTTTGGGGGGCCGCTGGGGGACCAAACACAACCGCACAAGATGCTGCTACTGCATCGCGCTGTGTGTGTGTGTGAAAACACACACACAAACACACACACACAAAAACATACACACAAATTAGCCTGGCGAAAGACCCAACCATATGCAGTTGTGAATACCGCAATTGTGAATACCATCTTTGCCCGCGCTCCCTATGTGGCCACAGCTTCCCGCCGGAACCCGACATGCTCAGGAACACGTTCGTGACCGTCTTCGCGGGCGCCGACGACGACACGGACGGCGTCCCTCTGACCGAGGAGCAAAAGCAGAAGAGAGCTTTGAGAGCCATGAGGGAGGAGGTGACGTTGCACGTCGACACGGCGGACTACGACGCCCAGGCGCGGTTGTTGAAGCAACACATCTATGGGGCCACGATCCTCGTGAAGGGTGTGCCGAAATGGCCCGAGGCCGCCATGCGAACGCAGCCAATGGGGCCTTCGGTGGAGCTCCCTATGGGGCCACGATCCTCGAGAGGGGTGTGCCGAAATGGCCGGAGGCCGCCATGCGAACGCAGCCACTGGGGCCTTCGGTGGAGCTCCCTATGGGGCAACGATCCTCGTGAGGGGTGCCGACATGGCCCGAGGCCGCCATGCGAACGCAGCCACTGGGCGCCTTCGGTGGAGCTCCCTATGGGGCCACGATCCTCGAGAGGGGTGTGCCGAAATGGCCCGAGGCCGCCATGCGAAACGCAGCCACTGGGGCCTTCGATGGAGCTCCCTATGGGGCCACGATCCTCGTGAGGGGTGTGCCTCGGCGGCCACGGTGGAGCCAGGGGTGTGCCGAAATGGCCCGAGGCCGCCATGCGAACGCAGCCACTGGGGCCTTCGGTGGAGCTCCCTATGGGGCCACGATCCTCGTGAGGGGTGTGCCGAAATGGCCCGAGGCCGCCATGCGAACGCAGCCACTGGGGGCCTTCGGTGGAGCTCCCTATGGGGCCACGATCCTCGAGAGGGGTGTGCCGAAATGGCCCGAGGCCGCCATGCGAACGCGGCCACTGGGGCCTTCGGTGGAGCTCCCTATGGGGCCACGATCCTCGTGAGGGGTGTGCCGAATGGCCCGAGGCCGCCATGCGAACGCGGCCACTGGGGCCTTCGGTGGAGCTCCCTATGGGGCCACGAAACCGTGTGAGGGGTGTACCGAAATGGGCGAGGAGGAGGAGGAGGAGAGAATGAGAGGAGACGCGGGCCACCGTCTCTTCAAAACGAGGACCCAACACCACAGGATGGTTGGGAAAAAACACAAACACACAAAAAAAACATAGTCTGTGAGAAACAAACAACACACACAAAAAAAACATACAAAAAACACAGTCTGTGTGTGTGTTTGTGTTTGTTTGTTTGTTTGTTTGTTTGTTTGTTTGTTTGTTTGTTTGTTTGTATGTGTGTGTGTATATGTGTGTGTATGTGTGTGTGTTTTTTCTGACAGACGCGATCTGGGGACCCATTTGTGCCCGCACCAAAGGGTCCCCCCGGCGACAGGTCCCTCTTGCGTCCCGTCGACCCCCGCAGGCCACGGCCCCTCTCTCGACAGCGCCCCCGGACCTCTCGGCCGCTCGACCTCTCTCTTCCCGCCGCCGCCCCCGGCGCGGCGGCCTTGCAGCGCCCCCAGGGGCAGCTGGGGCTGCCCGGGCATGCCGCCGAGCTGCAGCGCCTCCGGGCCCCAGTCGCCGCCGCCGCCGCCGCCGCCGCCGTCGTCCCCGTCGTCGCTGTCGTCGTCGCCGCCGCCTTCGTCGTCGTCGACGGTCGGTCGGTCAGTCAGTCGGTCGGTCGGTCGGTCGGTCGGTCGTCGTCACTCGTTAGCATCATCATCATCATCATCATCATCATCATCATCATCATCATCATCATCATCATCCTCATCCTCATCCTCCTCATCATCATCATCCTCCTCATCATCATCATCAGCAGCAGCAGCAGCAGCGGCAGCGGCAGCGGTAGCGGCAGCGGCAGCAGCATCATCATCAGCATCAGCATCATCATAGTCATTGTCGTCGTCGGCGTCAGCATCGTCATCGCCGTGGTTGTCGTCGCCGTCGGCTGCAGTGTTGGCGTCGCCATAGGGCAACGTATAGCGAAGAACACTCGGCTGAGAGTGGCATCTTGTGGCTACGGTGGCTGCAGAATTGTGGCCGCGGACACGTTATCCGCTACATCGCCTTCACCATATCAACATCGCCCGAATGCGCGCAACGTACAACATGCATTGGCGACTCAAGATACCAAAATTGCTCTCGGTTTGACTGGTAGGTCGGGACCGAGACCGCAACACTCAGCATACATATCGCATGGTGAAGCTGAGTGTGTAGGGCACGTTGGGAACGGTAAAGCACAGGGGGTGGGTGGGCAAAGGTGAGGAGAGAGGGACGATAATGAGTACAAGACACCGGGATAAGGGGAAGGGCTACGTCAGACCAAATGGAAGAGGGACTGGGAGCCAGCTGACGAAGTGGCTGGGCGCTGCTGCACACAATCTGCACCAGGCTTGGAGAAGACTTGATAAAGGACTGGGAAGTAATGACGAGAAGGGTACGATAGCAGTGGAGGGAGGCTGGGGATAAGCGGATGATGGTTCAAATGCACACGATGTCGAAGACCTTACCATGAAGTGGAAACCAATCGAGAAGAGACACGCATGGCATTGCTCGCCATCCCTGAGGACGTCCTGGAATGCACCCGAGACGGCTCAAATACAACTCGGAAAAGGTTGGCGCACTGTGGTCTGGCATAGCAACCGACGCAGAATCTTTGATTTCGCTTGATTTCCAAATCCGCATGCAAACATGAATTTTATAACCAAATTCACAAGCTGCGTGAGCTCGCCATCAAGCTGGCTGCCTGACTGCCTGAATCAAACTGACTGCCTGAAGGCTTGAAAGGCAACATCTCTGATACTATACAGATCCACACGACCACGTCGTACGTAGCATGCATGCTTGCCACATTCAGGGTTTTGGATGCCCGGGAACACGAACACGAAACAAACACACCCTCGTATGGATTGGAGCGCCGTGGCAACATGTTCGTTGCTATGCTCTCCAGTTCATTGCAAACATGGTCTCTTGCATTGGAATGTCCATTGATACCTGTCATGTATGGTAGCCACTCCTGCGGACAACGTGCTGGACATGGAACGCTGTTCAGGGCGGCCCACATACAATCCGTTGCCACCGCGCGCTCGATGTCCCAATCAACGTTTGACCCAAGTTTCTACATCCAAGTGTCTCACTTAATGTTCCCTGTGCGGTCCACGCTCCACACACCAATTCTTCGCGCCCTCTGTCCTGAAAGACTGCAGCTGCCTGAGGTGCTGCCTTGCGGCTCGGAGGAGCGAGGGTAACTTGGAAGAGGCAAGCTTTGCCCATCGAGGTCAACATGTCTAGCGGCCATGCAACACGCGTCCGCTCAATGCCCAGCTTTACGACACACATGCTGCAACCGAGTTGAACGCGAAGAGACTGGGAAAGCTGATGTGGTGGATGACGGGGTTGTATGGAACGAACCGAGAAGCAATACCAAACCACTCGGGATGCACGTAATCGCACGTAAGAAAGAGAGGCGAATGCATTTACGCGACCCCTGGGCGCGAGGCCGAACGTCGGTTCCTGGCATCTGGGTTCGTTGTGAACTTCCTCTGACTGAAAATCCGTCACCGCGCTTGTAGCGGCTGGTGCGAGTCGGGCTCCTTTGGAAGCTGGTTATGTTTCCTTGATCACCAGGAGCTCTGAACGCCCCCCCCCGACACATCCAGCCCAAGGTGCGCTCACCTGTTCGCCGACGTCGCTGTAGGCCTTCCCGTGGCATTGCCCTCTCCCCACGCCTCCACTCCCCTCCCCCGCGGATGCCTCCAAAGCGCGGTGGCGGATTCGCGCGGCAGCGTACGAGACAGAGCCAGGGCCAGTGAACCATCGGTTGTCTTGGCGGCGCGCTGAATCGGGCGGCTTGGGAGCTGCGGCCTTCTCAGAAGGACGGGGACTCTTTTCTAACGCCCTCCTGCCTTCGAACAAGCCTTCTGCAAACCTCCCAGAGCCGCCCTTCCTTACGGAAAGGCTGCCCCTGTTGGAGGCCTGGAAATTGGCACCAACACCAACACGGGTGGGTGCCTCCACAGGGGGAGGATGATCCTAGATTTTCGGCGCTGGTGGTAATAGTTCGGCCACCTTGGAAGCCAGAAGATTGCCACCATCGCCGAGGTCGGGATCTTCCTCCCTCGGTGGAGGCACACCGCCGATCTTGGTGTTGGTGTCAACCTCTAGGCCTGCGACAGAGCCGCCCCTCCTTACGGAAAGGCTGCCCCCGGGGCGTGCACGCAAATCCGAAGACTCACTCCTTGGGCCCTCGACGGCTCGCGTCTGCCAGCGGCACGCGGCCCCCGCGACCCGCGCTGAGCTCCCCACGCGACGAACCTTCCGACGGGGCTTGCCCATCCCCCCCCTCCTCCTCGACCTCCTCCCTCCTCCTCCTCCTCCTCCTCCTCCTCCTCCTCCTCCTCCCCCTCCTCCTCCTCCTCCCCCTCCTTCTCCTCCTCCCCCTCCTTCTCCTCCTCCTCCGCCTCCTCCAACCCGTTCCGACAGCACGTGCCCAACCCCCCCAGCGGATCCGCGTCCGCAACCCACGCCCCATCGGCCCACGTGCGCGACCGCCCCCCCAGGACCCGAATACGACCCGCCCACATAAGGGACGGCTTACAACAGATCGAGCGAGGACGACGCGGCGACCTGTCGCAAAAGCCTGCTCGAGCGGCCAACGCAGCACACCGCGTGGAAGACAGAGCGTCCACGCGCGACCCTACGCGGGCAGCTTGCGCATCAATGTCCGCGCAGCTGGTCCTGATTTATCAAATCGCGCACGCTGTTTTGAAGAAAAAATCTAGGCTGGAGAGGCGATCAGCTTCATGTCACTGTTGCCCGCGACCCTCCAAAGTGCATAATGGCGAGCTCCGATTCCTGCACATTCAGTGGCCCCTGAGTCCTCTCTAGTGGATCCTTGTTGACACGGCCCCGAGCAAAATAAATCGAGCGCGAGGCGCTCATTCTTGTCCGCAAATGCGGGAGCTTACATGCACGCGGGAATCAACTCTCGCCGCCGGCGTTCTTCGCAGACGCAAAAATGAAGAGCACAATGGCTTGGGACTCTTCCAGGGCCCCAAATCCAACCGAGATTGGCGCATTCCTCCAAAACGCCGGCCTCGGCATCTCCAAGCTGACTGGAAACGGCGAATCAGAGTTCCGACCAGCGACCACACTGGTCCAGGATGCCTGGTGATGTGGGAGGGCATGTAACATGCATACCGAGAGCACGGAGAGAGAAGCAGATCCGGTGGAGCAGACAGGAGGGCTTGAATCTTCACAGCGAAGACCGTCTAGCCCAGAACATGTGCGCGTTGGCCGAAATTTCGGCCGTTCCAATGAGATTGGACACGACGTCATCGGCGCTGTGGTGGTCCCCGCTCTGGCACCGACGTCGAGAATTCAGTCACGCATGTACGTGAGAAGCTAGGACCGTGAAGCTTCTAGCGTTCTGCGGGAAGCAAGGGTGAGAGACGCGGGAATCACGAACAACAGGCTGAGCCAGGCTGAGGCTGAGACGAGGAAAGCTTGAAGAGTGATAGCTATGCGGAGCTGAGCCCCCACGCCTCCACTCTAGCCAAAAACTATGCTTCCACCAAAACCCTCCAAAACGACCCTGGGTCTTGAGCATGCAATCTTCGAGCAAGAAAGACCGTACCATGCAAGCTCGAAGAGGTGGCCGCACGGCTGTCGCAACGCAATGAGAGGGAAAATTGTCTCGAAGTCCCAGTCTCGCCTGCAACGGGTTCTGCGGCATTGCCAGCGCCTCGTGCGAGGCCAATGCATGCGGGAACGGTCCGAGAGGGGAAAAAGAGAGCTGGTTCACAAAACAATAAGAAACATGAAATTGCATTGTTCGGCAACCCATCCTTTGATCTGCCAGTCCTTCCACTCATCGACCAGTCCCTCGTACCCAGACCTCTGGCAGATTGACATCAGACGCATGGGATTCAATAGTCTCGATCCCTTCCCGGGGGCTGATTTCTCCAACCCAGACGCCTTCGGATGGTCCAGGGGCCCAAGCACAGCCCCCAGACACCGAAGCAAAGGAAAAGCGCCAAAATCGAGAACGCAATCGGCCAGCGGTTTGGCCAGATGCGTCCGTCCGTCCATCTGTTCATGCGCCCATCCGTCGATTCACCCGGCCACTCGTGCATCCATCCTTCCATCTTTGCGTCCGTCCGTCCGTCCATCTGCTCATGCACCCATCCGTCGATTCACCCGGCCACTCGTGCATCCATCCTTCCATCCGTCTGTCGCTCGTCCCCATCGCACGTGTGCCCGTCCGTCTGGCCATATCTCACTGCCTCCGTCGGCCGTCGGCCCGCGCACAAATCATACATCCGAGTAGCTCCATCCATACACCTCTTGCGACTCGACGACATCGACCTGGAGATCTTTCGTCAGCTTCGGTGGCCGCCAGCGGCTGTTGTGGGTGCCCCAGGACCGTTAGAAACCACGTGTGGCGAAGCAATAACCCACTGGAACGGGTCAAGAGCTTCAGGGGCAATCGATTCGAAAAAAACAAACCGTCGGGGTGGTATGTCTCCAACGCTGTTTTTCCATCTTCCCGCACCCAAGCTGCCGTGTCACCCTAAATATGACACTTCTATTGGGATGCTTCCGCATCTCTTGGACTTCTTCTGCGTTTTCGAATGTATCTCAAATTTCCAATCTGAATTGCACCCAGCAAAGTGCCTTAAGCTAAGACACGTCCCAAACAACCACGTGTGCATCGGATATTTGCATTTCTTGACCGCAGGGGCTGCTGGATATGCTGTGACGTGGATCGGGGGCCAACGCGATGCACGAACTTGTCCTGCGACGCGATTCACACAGATACGCAGCACGGTTGGCAGCAGCCAGAGCAACGCCGATAGAAAACGCAAGAACAGACATTGCGCCAGACTTTCCGCTTCTCGCAAGCACGCACACTTTGCATCCCAGTCGGATGCATCGAACATCCCCCCGACCTGCTACAATGAAAGCTGCTTGATGAGCCTTCCACAATACTCCAGAACCTCCGATGGCTCGATCCTGTGCGTCGCTAGGCCCCAGACGTCGAGACCCTTCCGCTGGGACACCCTTCTCTGATTCCGAGCCCATGCGGCCGCACTGAAGACCCAGAGACGGCCTCCTGGAGGACGAAACTGGAGGAGGAGGAGGAGGAGGAGGAGGAGAAAGAGGAGGAGGAGGCGGGGCCTTTCGTAGCCCCCCCCCCCGCAGCTTCCGGGAGTCTGGCACCCCGGCCGCTCACGCTGGCGGCTGGGTGCACCGCTGCGCTCCTGACTCGTTCCCGTCCTCGCCGCGGAGCCGGCCGGGCCCGCGCTGGGCCGATCTCCCCTGGGGCACGGGGCCCTCGTTAAAATTGGCTCCAGCAACTCCTGGAGAATCTTTTCGTCTTCGTGGGCGCGCTTCGGCCTGCAGGGGTCAATTGGCCCAATCCTGACGTCTGGGCGTCGCATGCTTTGCGCACCGCGTGTTTGAAGGGGCCCTCGGACACACAAATAAATGCACACAAATAACAGGATTCCCCATGTTTTTCCATATTTTCTGGGTGTTTGTCTTCTCCCCCACTTCCCATATTTTCCCATATTTTCCTGGGAATCGCCGATTAATTGTGTCTGTGTGTTGTTTCCCCTCCTGAGCTTCAGCCTGCAAGGGTCAACTCGCCAGATCCTGCCGTCTGGGCGTCGCATGTCTTGCGCACCGCGTGTTGCCGTTCGGTGTCCCCCCCCCCCCCCCCAGGGCCATGGCGGATCGACACAGGTCGAGGCGTGCCGCGCACAGAGATGGGGGCTCGGGGGCTCCCGTCGTGGTTTTTGTTCACGATGCTGCACTTTTGCGCGACGTCGTCACTGAGGGGACTAACGTTCCCCTTGCGTCGCCGCCGGAATGTCCCAGCGCCTCCTCAAGGATGAGCGGCTGCATGCTCCAGTCCCCTCGCGTTGAACCAAATCTGAATTTCATGATGGTGGTGCCGATTGCGGCGATGACGACGCTGAGGTGAATGGTGATTCGGGCGATGGCCCCTTCAAGTCGAATAGCAACTGCGATCAGCATGATAAAGGGAATGATGATGTCATCGGTAACGAGTGCAACCACAGTACGTAATGATGAAAATTGATCCCAGGTGACTTCCACTACGACTACAGGTCACACCGACGACGTACACGCCAAGCTCCCTCAAATGATCTGTTGCCTAACATTTGACTTGATCCCAGGGGCCCGCGGTCTAGCCTGCTTTCGAACAGGACGCGCTCGGTAAACTCACCACCCTCTCTGTGCATGTGGAGACCGCATCCGTACGGATCGTTTTGCTATGTTTACATCAGTCTGCTACCCGTGATGTGTTGACAGTCAACCCGTATAGGAAGGACGTGTGAGAAGGATGCAAGGGCCTTGGACGCCCCCCTCGAAGCTTTTCGAGCGGGCCTCGGCCAGCGAAAGTGGCCAAGGATGGGCTGATGGGGCAGGGATGCAAGGGTACCCTTGGGAAGGTTGCCCATCCTTATTATGCGGGTTGACTGTATACCAATGTATATCTATATTCGTAGTATAGACCCAGAGGCATCAACGAATAGCAACCCCGCATAAATACGAATGCGCCTGTCGATTCCACCTCGCAAACTCGCAAGAAAAACATGTTTTACTTCCCCCCGTGCCGTCCATGACGGGGGGGGGGGTCCGCCCACCGTGGCGGGGCAGCGGTAACAGAAATGCGGCAAGCACGGGCATGGCACCAGCGAGGTCACTTCCGGAGATGGTTCCGCCGGGCGGGGGAGAAGGCGGAAACCAGAACCAGAAAACGGAAAGCGGAAGACGAGAAGGGGAAGCTAGAAAATGAATGGCGGGCAGCCGATCGCAGGGTCCGAGAACGGAAATCGGAAACCAGAAAGCGGAAAAATGCAAGAGGGACTCCCTGGGCAGGGGCCGGAATGGGAAACCAGAAAACAGAAAGCGGAAAAGAACGAGCGGAAAGGTCCCGGACGAAGGCCCGAAGCAGAAAGCGGACAACGGAAAACGGAAAGCGGGAAGCACGGGGACTTCTTGGGAAAAGACCAGAAACGGAGAGGAAACCGGAAACCGGAACTTCGAAACCGCAAACCAAAAACCAGAAAGCGGAGGCTGGAGAACTGAAACCGGAAACCAAACCAAAAACCGGAAACCGGAAACCGGAAACTGGAAACCGGTAGACGGAAATCGGAAAACGGAAACCGGAAAACGGAAACCCGAAACCAGAAAGCAGAAACCAACAAGCGGGAACCGCAAAGTGCAAACCAGAAGCCCGAAAGCGGAAACCAGCAGTCGAAAGCAGAACAAGACCTAATTATGGAGCCCGACGTCCCTCCAAAACCAAAACAAGTGAAGATACTTCCAAGAAGGACCTACTGAATTGCACGCAGCGCAGAGTTCGGTGCGAGGCTCCTTGGGCAATGCGGGCGCAGCACCGCGCTGGATGCGCAGTCATCGGCTGGGGCAGCCAAGCGAAGGCCCAAACATCGCGCGGCGTTGGGATGCCCGCACCGAACACGACTCCTCTCAACTCCTCCCTCCTCTTCCCCCCGTTCTGTCTCCTCCTCCTCCTCCTCCTTCCCCTCATTGGTCCTCCGCCCTCCCTCTCATCCCTCCGCACCCCACAGGTCGTCCGACGCCTCCGGCTCCTCCTGCCGCCGCCTCCTCCCTCTCCTTCTCCTTCCTCGTCCCTCACCTCCTCCTCCCTCCTCGTCGTCGTCCTCCTCCTCCTACGCCTACCCTCCTCCCCGTCACTCCCCCTCCTCCGAAGCAATGCACAGTAATGCAAAGCAATGCAATGCAATGGAAAGCAATGCAAAGCAAAGCGACGCAATGTAAGCAATGCAAAGCCTTTGATGCAAAGCAACCTGCTGGCTTCAACTGCCCCCGAAATATCATCGCCCGCTGGCCTAAATCACTTCCCCTGAAATATCCTCACCCGCTGGCTTAAAGCACTGCCACGAAGTACCCTCACCCCTCCGTGGCTTAACTCGTCCTCCGCCTCCTCCTCCCTCCTCCTCGTCGTCCTCGTCGTCCTCCTCCTCCTCCTCCTCCACCTCCTCCTCCTACGCCTACCTCACCGCTCCTCCCCGCCACTCTCCCTCCTCCGACGCAGTGCACAGCAATGCAACGCAAAGCAATGCAAAACAACGTAAAGCAATGCGAAGCTTCTCCTGGCTTCAGCAGCCCCCGAAGTATCATCGCCCGCTGGCATCAAACAGCCCCCCTGAAATAACCTCACCCGTAGGCTTAAAATACTTCCCCGAAACATTCTCACCCCCCCGTGCCCTAAAAACCTGCCCCCCGAAATATCCTCACCCCCCCCGTGCCTTAAAAACTGCACCCGAAGTATCCCCCCCTCTCCCTGGCCGAGCACTGCCCCCACAAGACCCTCACACACCCCTGGCTTAAGACTGACTACCTACCAGACCACCCCAACCCAACCCGAAGACCCCAATTTCGGGTTGGGGGGGGTACGGGTTCCATACGTGTTTTTTCGATGTTCCCCGACCCCCCCCAACTGGAAATGGAGGGCAAATTGAGGCCTTCGGGTTGGGTTGGGGTGGTTTGGCGGGTGGTGAAAGACCGCCCCCTCAGTTCAGTGCACCTCGCGATAATCAGATTACGAATTGCGCCCGTCAATCACAGCACAGCTGTTTCCGCAACAGCGCAGGAGACAGCGAGTGAGGTGTCTTCGGGTTTCCTCCACGTCTCTGTATGCGGTGTCGCTGATGCTGGGTACTCTGGGCA